GTGAATTTATTTGCAGCGATTTTTGTGAGAATCTCTGCTTTTTCTTTTTTGTTTTTTGCGGCTTCCAATTTTTTAATTATTTGCATTTCTGCAGTAATAGCCGCTTCTGGGGTTTGATCGAATTGGTTTTCTTCCGTCTCCATAATGCATTCGGAATTTACATTTTGGAGATCTATGTCAGGCCTCTCGTTTGCCTTCCGGGAACGCGGTGGAGCCGCTGGCTTCCCTTTCGTGTATTCTTTTTGCCGTAGACAGCAGCTGCGGATCAAAGTTTAAAGCATTGTTGTAGTCGAACTTTTTAAACTTGTCAAAAAGAATCCGATCATAGCTCAGTTGGAAGAGCGTCAGACTGTAATCGAGTTGATATCTGAATGTCCCCGGTTCGATCCCGGGTGATCGGAGTTTTGTAAACCCTCAAATATTTATACAAATACATATTTACTTCTTTAGTTTTATTTGAAGATCAAACAATTTTTTTCTTGATACAACTTTTCAGTATCCATTCCAGTATATTTTTCGTAAAATTTGGTGAAGTGTTCAACCACGCCACAGTCTAAAACAAAAGCGAGAGGACTTTGAATTGGAAGAGTAACAAAAATCAACAACCATCACAGAATGGAACATCTTCAACAACCATATGTTCTTTCTCAAATTGAAGAAGGTTAAGAATGTTTCTTTTCCTTACTTTATGATCTTTAATTGAAAATTGTGACTTTTTCATTAGCTTGTTATGTTGTTTACAATCCGGGTACTGTCTCAACATCTTCTATTAAAGGCTCTATTCAACCTTCGGACGCTCTCAGAACACTTTCGTTATATTTCCCAAACTTCACAGATTCAACTTCACCCTTATCAAGTTCCAGTGGAACCCCTGTTGCTTCATCTCCCTTGGACGCTGTATTTCATTGTCAACTAGTTCTCGAAAATTCCACCTCACCATATGCTAAATTATATGCTGCTTCTCATTTAAAATCAATTGCGGTTACCCATTTTTCCTTACTTAACATTACTCAGAGGATTGACTTGAGTATGTTAATTCGATTATCTTTATATAATTCTTTTTCCCCTTCTTCTTTATTTGCTTCTTAATTTATTTATTTTTTTTTTGGAAAATCAATTTTGAAATTAATGTTCAGGATCTTTTGTGCTGGATTATCTTTTCAGAAATCCAAACTCACCTCCAGTTGTAATTACAAATCTTTCGGCAGTATTTTGCGTGATTAGCAAGTTTGCTTGGTTCGATGATGAAAAGTTTAAGGCCGCATTACCAGATTTATCGACTTTTTTACATGTATGAAATTTGAATTGTGAGGAATATTCAACTGATTAAAAAATTCATTATTTTTTAAAAAATTTAGGCTTCGATTGATCATAAAATTGTAGGATTA